ATGGTCAGGGTAACTTCGGATTATGGCAAACGAGGGTGAAGAATCTATTGGCGCAGCAAGGGATCTTGAAGGCTTTGCGACCTTCAAAGCCGGCGTCGATGGATGAGGAAGATTGGGAAGAATTGCAGTAGCGAGCGGCAGGAACCATACGATGTTTGGCGGACGAGGTCATGTATCACGTCATGCATCTATCGTCTCCAGACGAAATTTGGAGGAAGTTGGAAAGTCAGTTTATGTCCAAATCCTTAACGACAAAACTGTATCTGAAGCAGCGGCTGTATGGGCTGAAGATGCAGGACGATCACGATTTGGCGCAACACGTGAATGTCTTCAATCAAATCGTTTCTGATCTGGCTCGGCTTGATGTGAAAATTGAGGATGAAGACAGAGCGATGATTCTGTTGTGTTCGTTGCCTCCCTCTTATGAACACATGGTGACTACTCTTACATATGGGAAAGAGACTATCAACGTTGAGGAGATTACTGCAGCCTTGTTGGCTCACAACCAGCGGAAGCAGAATGCAGGGGAAAGCTCTCAAGCCGATAGCTTATATGTCAAGGGTAATCGAGATCGTGGACGGAAGCCAGAGAAGGTAGGGTCCGGGAAGCGGAATTCCAGATCCAAATCCAGGGATAAGAAGACGATTCACTGTTACAAGTGCAAGGAGGCGGGACATATGAAGCGAGACTGTCCGAAGTTGAAAAAGCAGACTGATGAGAAGCGTGATGGCTCATCCAAGTCTGTGAACGTGGTCGAGGATGATAATTCTGATTGCAATGAGGGTGATATGCTTTCTATTTCAACGACACAATTGACGGATGCTTGGATTCTTGATTCTGGATGTTCTTATCACATCACGCCAAATAGGGAATGGTTTTCGACATAAAGGCCGGTTAATTCTGGTTCGGTTTATTTGGGTGATGATCGATGTTGCAATATTGTTGGTATTGGTGATGTCAGAATTAAGATGCACGATGGCTCCGTTCGGACGTTGAGTGGTGTTCGACATATCCCAGACTTGAAGAAGAATTTGATTTCCTTGGGCACTTTGCACAAGAATGGTTTTATCCCTAAGGCTGACGAGGATAGGGAAACCATTCGGATTGTTAAAGGAGCATTGACTGTGATGAAAGGCAAGGTGACTGCAGGGAATATCTACAGATTGTTAGGGAGTACCGTTGCAGGTGGAGTTCACTCTGTTGAGTCCTGTGATGATACGACAAAATTGTGGCATATGCGCCTTGCTCATCTTAGTGAACGTGGTATGGCAGAATTACACAAGAGAAACTTGTTGCATGGTGTCAAAAGCTGTAAGCTCGATTTTTGCAAGTATTGTGTTCTTGGTAAACAGACTAAAGTTCGTTTTAAGACTGCGAAGCACACAACTCAAGGGATTCTTGATTATGTGCATTCTGATGTATGGGGGCCTTCCACGACATCGTCTTTGGGTGGATCTAGGTACTATGTTACTTTTATTGATGATTTTTCACGGAAAGTTTGGGTGTATTTTTTGAAACAGAAATCTGAAGTTTTTGAGAAGTTCAAGCTGTGGAAAGCTGAGGTAGAAAATCAAACAGGACGAAAAATCAAGTGTTTGCGGTCTGACAATGGTACGGAGTACACAGATTCATAGTTCCTACAATTCTGTAAGGAGCATGGGATTCATAGACATTTTATAGTGCGCAAGACACCACAACAGAATGGTGTTGCGGAACGAATGAACATGTCATTGAATGAAAGAGTTAGATGTTTGCGGTTGAATGTGGGGCTTCCCAAACACTTCTGGGCTGAGGCTGTTAACATGGCGTGTTACCTTATCAACAGATCGCCAAGGCATCGCTGGCTGGGAAAGTTGCAGAAGAGGTATGGACTGGTCATGATGTTAGTTTTGATAACTTACGGATTTTTGGTTGTCCTGCTTATGTGCATGTACCTGCTGATGAGAGATCCAAACTTGATGCAAAATCGAAGGAGTGCATTTTTCTGGGTTACAAGAAAGGTGTCAAAGGATTCAAGTTCTGGGATCCAGTTACGAAGAAAGTTGTGATTAGTAGAGATGTCGTTTTTGATGAACAGTCCATGTTGCAACAGAAGCAAGACACGACAGTGGTGGATTTCGAGCAGTTTCCAGTTGAGAAACCAGAACTTCTCAACCGACTTCTGGTGGTTCCACTACGGATGATTTGCAGGATTATAGTCTTGCCAGAGACAGGGTGAGACGGACGAATATAAAGCCTCCGAACAGATTGGGTTTTGAAGACTTGGTATCTTTTGCACTTATTGTTAGCAGTGATGATCCGGTTACTTTTCATGATACCGTTACTAGTCAAGAAAACGACAAGTGGATGGCAGTCATGGTTGAGGAGATGGAGTCTTTGAATTACAATCGCACATGGGAGTTAGTTCCCCTTCCTGAGGGTAAGAAGCCGATTGGTTGCAAATGGGTGTATAAGAAGAAACCAGCAGTAACAGAAAAAGAGGGGGAGAAGATCTACATGCGGCAACCTGAAGGTTTCACTCAACCTAGAAACGAGCATTTAGTTTGCAGATTGAAGAAATCTTTGTACGGGTTGAAACAGTATCCGAGACAGTGGTATAAATGGTTTGACTCCTATATGATCAAGATTGGCTACAACCGATGTGAGTATGATTGTTGTGTCTATGTTAAGAGCCTTGATGATGGTTCTTTTATTTTTTCTATTACTGTATGTTGATGATATGTTGATTGTTGCGAAGAACATGGATGATGTTATCGGTTTGAAAACTTTATTGAGTCAGGAATTTGATATGAAAGATTTAGGTGCTGCAAAGAAAATTCTTGGAATGGAAATTTGTAGGGACAGAGACTCAAGGAAACTGCGGCTATCTCAACGGGGTTATGTTGAGAAAATGCTAGAAAGGTTTGCGATGAGCAGCGCGAAACTAGTTAGCACTCCATTGGCGAATCACTTTAAGCTCTCATCAGAACAGTGCCCTAAGACAGATAAGGAAGCTGAAGATATGGCAAAGGTTCCGTATTCTAATGTTGTTGGCTGCTTGATGTATGCGATGGTATGTACTCGTCCTGATTTAGCTCATGCTGTTAGTCAAGTTTGTAAGTACATGTCTAAACCTGGTAAGCAACATTGGGAAGCAGTCAAGTGGATCTTTCGGTACTTAAAGGGTACTGTGGGACATGAAATTGTTTTTGGGAGTCAGCGGGATAATCCTTTGGTATTAGGATATGTGGATTCAGACTATGCAGGTGACTTGGATAATAGAAGATCTACGACAGGGTATGTCTTTACTCTTGGTGGAGGGCCTATTTGTTGGAAGTCTACTGTTCAATCTGTTGTGGCTCTATCTACAACTGAAGCTGAGTACATGGCAGCGGCTGAAGCTGCAAAAGAAGCTTTATGGCTTACTGGTTTAGTGAAGGAGTTGGGTGTTCAACAAGGTGGAGTTCAGTTGCTTTGTGATAATCAAAGTGCTATTCACTTGGCTAAGAATCAGGTGTATCGTGCTAGAACTAAACATATTGATGTAAGGTTCCACAAGATCAGATAGTTGGTTGCATCTGGAGAGGTTTTGTTTCAGAAGGTACATACTGATGAGAATGCCGCTGATATGTTCACCAAGCCAGTTACGACAGACAAGTTCAAGCATTGCTTGGACTTGTTGAATGTTTCGAGTTGTTAAAGAAGCAAGATAACCCAACCCACATTGAAGTTTCCAAGGGGCAGGATATTCGCCAAGGTGGAGATTTGTTAGGTATGGCTCATAAATATACCAGTAAAGAGGACAGGAGATGGAGCGGAGTGAGCGAAGCGAACATCAATTGTCCTTACAAAGAAAGTCTCGTTGTGGGGTTACGAATTATGTGGATTGGGGGTGCGGGGGTTGCGCCCCTGCAGTACGGTACAGGGTTGATTTTGTAATTATGTACCAGGGTTTTCTATTATAAATAGAGATGTAACCTAGACCTAAAATATCATTGAAAAAAACTTCTAGCGCCGCCTAGGCACCGAGGACGTAAGCACATTGCCGAACCTCGTAAAATTCTCGTGTTCTTTTGTTTTCTTTACCCGTTTTCGTCAACAATGGGACTTCAATGACCACAACTATGTGAAATTAATATAAACATATAAACACTACCCTCTAGGCAAAGTGAAATGAATAGGGAAATTAACAAGTAAAAATTGCAGAACGCCAGGCTTAAACCCTTCAAACTGTGCTTAAAGCAGAATACAACAGACAATTGCATTGTTCTATTACTTGGATTCTAGACTAGAAACTATGAAAACATACCAAGCCATCAGAGATAACCCACTAACAAGATGCACTACTAAAAATTACCTCGGAGAAAGTAAAATTTCGGTATGAAGTGACAAAAAACAAGCATATACAAAAAGTAGTAAAAGAGGCGTTAAAATTTCTTTCATAGGAAAGTGAGGAGCCTGTACCTGAAGAATGTTTACTTCCTTTGAGTCACTGATGACTTTGCTGACAGTCGAGAGTTGAACAAACACAACAACAATGAGAAGAAGAAGAAGAAGAAAGTGGAAGAGAAACTATAAGAACTGATTAAACAAGCATATTGAGTTTTTTCTATTTGATATTTTAGTTTTAATTTATTTTAAATGGAAAATAAATTATTTCACTCCTGAACAAAATCATGTCTAAAAGTGAAAAAGGTTGGAATCACAGCTTTCACAATGTCTGTTACCAGTATGATTCTTCCCGTTTAAAACTCTTGAATGAAAACAAGAGTTAAAAGAGCGTAAGAGTGACAAAAGTATATATATAATGTGTAAACTTTAGTTTATCTAATCTGGGAATAAATTAAAATCCTTGAATTGCCATGGAAGGCACTTCTTTATTCCATACCAAACTCTGCAGTTTTGGCCGTACGGCCATTCTTATATGTAAATGTTCTTCAGATTCGGCTACAACCCCAAGTCGCATTTGCCTGCCTCTTCTTCCCAAACCAACTTAGTTTTTTTTTTTTTGTTATTAAATCATGCCTCTGGAATCAAGCAAGCCTGACTACTTTTCTGGTGAAGGAGATAAGCATAGAGTCCTAGACAAAGAAATCAAAGACATGATATCCGCCATAACTCGCTGCGGTATTCATGAACCAGGATCAAACTGCAGTGGAGATGACGATGGCGATGAGCATGGTGTGAGAATTATAACACTTGCAGGAAGCAATGCCGGGGCCACAATGCGAAGTGAGTTGGATGAGAAATCCAGAATCCCACATGGGATTTCACTTGGCGAGCCTGACACATTGAATACCTACGTGAACAACAATTTCCAAGCTGTTAACAACTCAATCATGTTCGGCAGCAGCTACAACACCAATGACCCTGGTGTCCATTTGGACATCTCGGATGTTTCCGAACATGAAGGCAAGAAGTCTGCAGATAAGCAAAGGAGAGGAAAGAAAATAGAGAAGGATTCGGCCAAAATAGAACATTCCGATTAAGTTAAAGAACACGAAATTGCAGTCAAAAGTGCTGAAACAAAGTCATGTCCAAGTCGGTATACGTTGCATGGAATACATCTCTGTATTGTTTTACTTAAGATCCAAGATTATGTTTGCATGACAGCATGTAAAAGGTAAAAACTAAGGGAATCCGCCAATTCCCATAGTATAACTATGCTTCTTTCCGAATTATGTCTTTGATTGTATATGGTTTTGCCGTTTTCAGCGTTATTGTTTTCCGAATTTTGATACATTTGTGTTTCCACTTGAATACAGTAAAAAAAAGGTTTTATAATTATTATTATTATTTTAATAATAAGGAAGCCATGCAAAGTTAGGTTTGGACTACAGGCAGTGAGGAAGCTCCTCTTACATCAGTGAATAAGAGAGGCTCTAAAACATGTGGGGGCGTTGCATAAAGCACCATTTGGGTCACAGTGGGCGGAGCCATTTTTGCTAGTTTGTCGGCTACAACATTCGCAGAACGAGGAATCCAGCAGAGGCGAGTGCTTCAATCATGCTTACGCAAGGCAGTGATGGAACGAACAAGGGAGACTAGCTATTCTTTGCCATAATAGCTTCGAGCAGCTTGGCTGCTTGCTGGCAACCATTTTGAATTTCCAGGCGCTCAATACCAAGACTCCGAGCTAGGAGGAGGCCTTCATAAATGCCCCAGAGCTCAGCCTGTAGAATTGAGTTGTGACCAACATTTTTGCTGAAGCCATGGATCCAAGAGCCTTCATCATTCCTGATAACACCTCCCGAGGATCCGAGACCAGTCGATGGGTGAACTCCACAATCCGAGTTGAGGCACGTCCAACCTGAAGCAGGTTTTTTTTTCCAAATAGGGTTGACCACAGCCGGTTTGTAAGCGGACGATGATGGTAAAATCGCAAGGCCGTAATACTTCGCCCATTGATGAGCACATTGAAGAACACCGGGTAACGGCAGAGAGAAACCTTTGAACAGCATATCATTTCTTCGTTTCCAAATTTGCCAGGTCAGAGAGGCAAAAAACATAGACCAAATTGTTCCATTCCTCAGCAGAGTAGAATTGTTCTTCAAATTGGAAAGGATCCAAGTCTCGAGATCATCTTGGAAGAAACTCGAAAGGGGAGGCCAAAACAAGATTTGAATCCAGAGGGACCGAGTTTGAGGACAGTCACGCAAAACATGAGTTGGAAGAAACAGGTTTTATAATTTGATTATTCATATTCTTGGTGCTTTTCCATGAAATAACAATCCAATAGCAGCTTAATTGATTCAATGAGCGCAAAGTAAAGAATGACTGCTGAATGTTGTACAATTTATCAGAATAGAAAATGAATGAATTGTAGTATTAAGCATGATGAATCTGATGTGGTTTGCCTACATCAATCAAGCACAGAGGAAACATACATGTAGGGATCACAATACCCAACGGGACCACACAAACTGTTTTCGCTGTGAAGAAACTGCGGCTCGGATGACCAAACACCTTCTATCATTGTTCCATCGGTTTGGAGAATGGGCATACTCACCATATTTGCTCCGCCGCTAATGTTCACTTGCAACTCTATTGGGCACTGCCCTGAAAAAGTCAAGTCCATGGACGAGTCAGTTGTCCCGGGTAGCGGCCATGTCGACGATGTAGCAGCGGTTGAGTTGGAGATATTAAACAAGCAATCTGGAGGGACTTGTTTCATCTGTGTACCCCACGTTGCTTCAAGTGAGGGTTGATTGGACCACATCGTGCTTGTCATGGATGGCCCTTGGCTTTGAACAGGTTGATGCCATTGAACCCCAATTTGACCTGCTCTCACTTGACCATCACGTGCTTGATCATGATTTATGACTAGATCAGGCTTGCTAGAATCTGGTTCTACTGAATCCGGAACAAGGGTCATGGTTCCGATTCCTTGAGGAGCTATAGTTATCGGTCCTGACTGATCTCTGCTCAAGTTAGAATTAACGCTAAGTTTAGCAGGTGAAAGGACTCTAAGCCCTTTACCATCAAGCAACTTGGCCTTGAGTGCACCAAGAAACCCGTCAGCATCAGTCCCCGTCCCACATGCTTCCTCAAAGGAGAAAGGCTGAAGATTATCAATGGAGAAACAATTGATAGATGAGTTTGAAGGTAACCGAGGTGGTTCGAAGTTGGTGCGGGCATTAGCTCCGCGCAAGGCCCGGGCAGCATCGTCGTAAGCTCGGGCTGCATCTTCGGCAGTGTCGAAAGTACCAAGCCAAAGCCTGACCTTTTGCAAAGAGTCTTTGATCTCTGCCACCCATCTCCCTGATGGTCTCTGCCTAACTCCCACGAATCTGTGGTGTCCTCTGGACGATGACTTCTTCTTTCTGGTCACTCCATCAGGAACTGTCATAGTTAAATTCTTGGTTTTATGGAACCTCTGAGTAGCCGAGGTTGAGGTTTCTTATAATGGCGGATTTGGAAGGGATGAGTATCTTTGGAATGCCATTAGTGGACAACAAAGAAAATGGCAAAACCCGGTACTTAAAATATTGCAGGCCTAATTTATATCGACTTCAAAATAAAGAAAACGTCATCATTACAAACTTTTCACAAACAACTTCTCAACTTAACAATAAAGACACGTATTCTTAAATGTAATTCTATAAATTAATTTAAGTTTGTGGTTCTATAAATGAATTAATAATTAATACATCACCACCTTATCAGCTAGTTAAATGAATCCTATAATGCCTTATCAGCGAGTTTAATCTCAATTTTACTCGTGTATAGAGAGAGAGAGAGAGGGAGAGTGGGTGAAATATATATGGTCATCTGACTATATGTACTGTTTTATTAAGTTCATCGATTATTAAAAATTATAAAATGATATTCCGGTTATAGAGTATTGCATTGTTGAATCCTCTATTATTAAAAGTTACAAAATGATCACCTGACTATTCATTATATTTCAAAATTGTCCTTTTCCGTTAACAATTTGACGGTATTCTGAGTTGAACGTTAATCTGATGACTGTGATATAATAAAATATAGACTCATAATCTAAAACGACTATCATATATCAGTCATCATGTTAACATCCAGCTTAGACAATTGCTAATTTTTTATGGAAAAGGACAAGCTTGGAACATAATAAATAGTCGGGTGATCATTTGTAACTTTTAATAGTCGATGGACTCAACAATGCAACACCCTATAGTCGAAGGACTATTTTGTAACTTTTAATAGTCGATGAACTTAATAAAGCAGTACCTTATAGTGGGAGACCATTTATGTACTTTACCCATATATATATACATACACGTTCTAATTATATTTTTTTTTAGTTTTACATATATTAAAGATAGTTGGATGAGTAAAAATAGACGGTTGAGATTAATAATAGGAAATGAGAAGATATTCATTAAAAAATAAATAATGAGTTAATTTTATCCATTTATTTCCACTCATCCAACAGTCCTCAATTTGTATATAATTAAAAAAATTATATTATGTAAGTGGATTCTAATATATATATATATATATATATATATATATATATATGACAATCAAACATTCCCCCAACTCCACATGTATTATAGTTGATTACTTTCATGATTTTTGTTTTATTTTTTAAATGTCAAATCATAATTTTTACTGGAGTAACTATAGTTAATGTTTGAATGACCAAAATATATTAAATTGATAACATAAGAGATTAGAACTAAACTTTTTTTCGAATTGGTGACTGAAATCGAATAGACTAAAAACATAAGGGACAATTAGTGTAGTTTATATAATTAAAAAATGTTGTGTATGCCTTATTTTAAGCCCAAAAGGAAGCCCAAATTCGGGGTGTAGAGAGGGCATTTAAGGCTTAGGGTTTTAACATAGCGATTTTCATTTAGTCGAAGCCGCCTGAAGGGAAGCAGAGTGAGAGAGCCAGAAAAATGAAGACCATACTTTCCTCGGAGACAATGGACATTCCCGATGGGGTCGACATCAAGGTCAAGGCCAAGATGATCGAAGTTGAGGGCCCCAGGGGTAAGCTTACGCGCAACTTCAAGCACCTAAACCTCGACTTCCATCTCACCAAGGACGAGGAGACCGGCAAGCGCAAGCTCAGGATCGAGGCTTGGTTCGGTACCAGGAAAACCAGCGCCGCCATCCGAACCGCCCTCAGCCACATCGAGAATCTCATCACCGGCGTCACCAAGGGCTACCGCTACAAGATGAGGTTCGTCTACGCTCACTTTCCAATCAACGCCTCCATCACTAACGGCAACAAGTCCATCGAGATCCGTAACTTCCTTGGCGAGAAGAAGGTTACCCATTTATCTCACATTCCTTCCTTTTTAAAAAATTATATTTTTCTGCATTATTATTATGAATCCAACTCTGATTATTACTGTGGATTCATATCAGCTTTTTCATTTGATGCAATCCAATATCTATATCTTGAATCCTTGTAGGAGGATGCTCCATCTCTAGGGTTTAAGGTTTCTTACGTTTGTGTATGGTTTTCTATTGTGGTTTGTTGAAATTAAATATTCCCATCAATATCCCTAGAAGCTTGTTATTTTGAATACCTAATAACTTAACTAAATAAGAACTAGTATCTATGTTGTTTACGCTTGCTCTAATTTTATCATAGAAGTCATTAATGTGTCAATCATTTGCTTAATGTCGACACCTTGTATTGAAACTTGAAATTCGTATTGACTTTGATTACTGATGTGTAGAAATGGACAACCATTGTTTTCTTTTTCAACCTAATTGTGTTTGTTCAAGGGTTAAGGAACCATATTTACTGTTGAATTGTCTTTCCATTATTGATTTAGTGACGTTATATATATTGGCTTCGTTCTTCTGTTGGTGAACATTAGGTCCGTAAGGTGGATATGTTGGAAGGGGTTTCCATTATTCGATCTGAGAAGGTTAAGGATGAGATCGTGTTGGATGGTAATGATATCGAACTTGTGTCACGTTCAGCAGCTTTGATTAACCAGGTACTCTCGGCTCATCAAAGTTTTTTTATATAGAAAAATAAGATAAATATTGATTGTTAAGATTTTTAAACACTTGCCCATTGCATGCTAGGATTTCATAATGTTTCTAAACTTCATTTTGAACAGAAATGTCATGTGAAGAACAAGGATATTAGAAAGTTCCTTGATGGTATCTATGTTAGTGAGAAGGGCAGGATCGCCGAAGAGGAGTGATTGTTATCTCGTGTTGTAGTTTTGGTTGCTACTTTATTTTTCTCTCACAGTAATATGTTGGCACCTTAGTTTTTGTTGTTTTACCCTCTTTCCTTGGATTATAGCCGCTACAAGGATGTTATCTGAATTTGTTTCGATTTTTTTTCCTGTTAGATGTTCTTAGATGGGTGAAATTTACAATTTCTAGCTTGTTGGCACTATTTGATCCTATGTAGGAGCTCTTTGAGACCTCGTCACTTCAAAATAATTAAAATTTAAAAAGAAATAAAGTTGAAACTTGTTTAGGGCTTGGAGCAAAAGTGCAGAGAGTTGTTGGAGCCTAGGCGTAGGGTGAAGGTGCACGTCGGTGCTTCTTTTGTGCTAAAATTATAAATCAATTTTGGAGCGTATCTATATCCATTATCCACTAGTTTATTGATGAAGTATTTAATCATCTCCCCGCGCTCTGTTCTTTCACCTTTACTCGTCACATTTTTAAGACCCATTCCACCATTCGTAAAGCACTAGTTTTAAAATATTTCACAAGAGTTAGTTACACTGTGATAAATAAGTGTCATTTTAAATGTGTATCATTATCTAATATTTATTAAATGTGTATACTTATCTGATATATATTGTGTATACATATAAAAGATTGAAGGCTATGAAGTTAAAATAATTCAATATTTGGTTAAACCAAAATGACTTTAAAAGTCAAACTACTAAATTATTTGTTTTTAACTTTTACAGTAATTAAAGGATAAATAATCAGTATTTATAAGATTAAATATCATTTAAAATAGAAATGATTTTAATTATCATATATCAATCAATATATTTTAAAGAAATAGTAATATGAATACGGACCTATTGTGTTAATAAAATTTTGCAGTAGGGAAAGCAACGGTTGTTATTACTAATTACTGTTCATTCAATATCGCCAAACTGTACCCACCTCACACGTGTCTACTTGAACCGTAAAACATTCATATCAACCTTACATGTATCTACTTGAACTATAAGAAACTCATTCCTGCTAGGAAGCTAATCAGACAGCAGGTTTAGACCAACCATATCACCTTTAGCAACACTCAATCTGTTCTTCGATTCTCTCTAAAGCGGTATGCCTTGCGTCCCTTCAAAAAGCGTCAACAGCGGCTACTAAATACCAACATGTGGTCTGTAACATTTTTTTTGCTCGATCCATATGTTCGGTCGTGTAGGTGATGTAACATTTTAATAACAAACGAATTTTGATAAAAATCTGAACCAGGAAAACAATATCTTTCAAAATAAAGATTAAATTATAATTGATTTGAAGTACAAGAACATCTCAGCAAAAAGATTGAGAAACAACTACCATTTCAAAATCAATTTGTACATGGGCATTGATGCCTCATCTAATGTATTAATATTTTAGTGTTAGTACTGGTAATTTAGTTCAAGTATCAAAACTTTAGTGTTAGTATTGATGACTTAGCAAAAGAATTCTATGTTAACAACGGGATGGTTGTGGGGTGAGACTAGGGATAGGAAGGATAAGATTGAATGGTAGAGACTTGTATGACTTTCTATGAATGTTCTAAAACATTCTATTATTGCTTGGATGACAGTTCTTAACAGGCTGCCTACTGCTGATCGGTTGATAAAAATGGGAATTAATGTGGAGGAGGGCTGCAGGATCTGCGATGGAGGGGGAAGAACTCTCGAGATCATATATTCTTTGAATGTGTCTTCTCTCGGGAGGTTTGGGAGTCTGTCCTGAGACTTTGCAGCATTCGCAGGCTTGGGAAAAGCTGGAGTGAGGAGCTTGGTTGGGCTCTCTCTCGGCTCAAGGGTAAATCACTCTTGGTGTGCATTCTACTTGTGGCTTGGTGTGCTCACATATATTGTATATGGGAAGAAAGGAATTATAGGCAATTTAGGGGGTTAAGAGGAGTGTGAGTGAGATTGTAGATATCATCAAATGCATTGTTCGGATAAAAGTATAGGAAAACTATTAGATGTGATGCTGTTAACCGGGGACATTGTATTGCTTGGGGGCTTTAGTCTCCTTTTGTTTAGTGTTGTAGCTGTTTTTTTTAAGCAATTTGACTGTCTCTTGAATAATAAGAGAATTCAATTTATCCAACAACAAAAAAATATAAAGATTTAGTTCAAGTATCAAAACTTCAGTGTTAGTATTGATCATTTAGTTTTGGTATCAATACCATATTATGCTACAACTCTGATGGTTAACTCGATAAGCTTAAGGAAATATTGAAATGCTTTGTATATATATATATATATATATATATGGTTATGTATTGTGTTATCAATTAAATGATCATCCAGCTCAGTTGGTAGAGCATAAAGTTTTTAACCTTGAGGTAGTGGGATCGAGTCCCATGGAAAGCATTTTATAATTTGGATGTCTCTTACGGAAACTGCTCTCAACCTAGTGTTGGGGGTAGCCTATTATCTTACCTCCCTTTACCCCATTACATATGGGAATAGGGACAACCATTTTTTTATTGTGTTATCAATTGCCTCATTGAGTTTTTCGAAACTCATTTCATTGATTTTTTTATCTTTATAAATATTAAGTACTCATAGAACTTATCTCGACATTATTTTGTCAAAAGTCTTTATCTTCCATTTTGATTATAGATGTTTTATCTTAAACTTCTAAATGTCGGTGGCATGTGTGCAAGTGATATTGTGGTAGTGATAGCGATGTGTATTTTGTGTTATTACCTTGTTTTGATGTAATGGTTATGTATAATTTATGATCATTACATGTGTATGTGTATATAGGTCAAATGGTAGATATATGTGTTTGATAATGTATCTGTCATAACCATTTTTTTGAAAAATAATTAAATATTTTTTTTAAAAAATTATTATCACTTTTATTTGGAAAATTAATGATATAGATTTTTTTTAATTGATTTGAATTAAATTGAATAGGACTCTTCATCGACCTTTGAGTTAGGTAGGTCGAATACCTAAAAACGTATTTTAAAACAATTTTAAGGAAAATCGTTTTTTAAGACAAAAATTGGTATGGGTTTACCAAAAACTCAATTTTACGGGTCAGAGAGTCGGTTGCACGTGGGGAACGATTATCACCCCCCACAGCACCCAAAATTGGTACTTAGTCGGTTACACGTTGTCGTAGTGGTGGAAATTTGAATAGAATATAAAGTTAAAATATGATCCTTTATTAAAGTTTAATTGATTTGCTTTGAATTAATATTATTAGGGAAAATTCTTTAACTTGAAAAAAAATCTCGAGATTAGCAATCCTCCATCGGGAAAGTTGTCTCGCCTATTTCTTATCTTTAAAAGAATATTCCCTCCTCAATAAAAACGCGAATCGAATGTAAATTAACTATCGACCTTTACATAAATAAATTACTATACATAAAAGCGCATTGGATCATTTGAAATAAATAAATAAATAATTTGTAAAATAAACTAAATTTATTTCAAGTTCTCATTTCGTTGGAACTTCGTATCGGATTGTAACACTTCGATCAAGTGAAACTTTCCACGCCCGTTCTACAAATGCTATTCTTGAAAATATTCGAATACCATATAAAAATTTCACTATCTAATAAGATACACAAAATATTAATAAAACTTCATGAATCCAAACCAAGTAAGTGTGCTAGAATAAGATACAAGAAAATTAGCATATAAGTATATGATTAAACTGTATTGAAAAGATTACATAAATTATAAATTATGGAACAATAGAATTATTCTATAAACAAGTAAATTAAAAACACGTTCGTAAAGGAAACACTTAAAGAGAAATAAGCAACAATTAACGTGTAACCTAATAATTAAATCAGGATTACATTGGAAAGAACAACAAATCACAGGGGCATATAGGATATTACTCCATAAAATTTTGTAAAAAAAAAAATAAACTGAAATAGTGACCATAATGGAAACAAGGCTAGAAATCAGAGCTTAAAGTCTAACTATAATCATGTATAGATAATTTACAACTAAGGACTAAAATGTAATAATCCATAAATCAACCATTCAGAAAAGATATTTAACTGAAAGCTAGAATTAAGCATACAATGGCCAAAATTCAAACAAAACAAAATTTAAAGTACAAAATATGAATGATGTAAAGCTACATTCAGTGACCATATGATGATATTACAAAGACAAGGGGGTCTAAACTATAAATATCCCCAAAGAAATTAAAAGCACGAGTGAGATTACAAAGCATCAATAACCAAAGCTGATATTAATCTAAAACACGCTGAATCCCCCCTTCCAGAACGATGTCATTCTATGCGTGTTATTTAAGGCCAAAATTCGACCAAACTCTTATTTGGCTCGGTTTAGAGGCAAAGGGAGGAGAGAAAATCTCATATTATCTCAACTCCCTCATCGGAGAAGAGAAGGGTCGCCGCCGTTTTGGCCCACGGTGGTTCACGGTGCCCGGAGAGAGTGAAAAGACCCCACAAGGTCCCTCTCGTCCTCTTTAACTAGAAACCCAACCTCGTTCAACTTAAAAAACCCTCTAAATCCCTAGATCTAGGCTTGATACCTTTCGAAAGCTTTAGAAACCAACGACCTTTGGACTCCAACCCTTCGAACTAAGGAACGTTGCTCTCCTTCTCTTTGATATTTTTTTTTGCTCGAATATGGCTATGTTTCACTTGGTTTCCTCTCTCTTTTGTTTTTCCTTTTTTTCACGATTGTTCTATCTAGTTTCCGAAATTTCTCTCTCTAGTTGTTTCTTTTTGTATCATCATCCTATCTCTATTGATTAACCCATCAAGATTTGCCTTGGATTTTCTTTATTTTTTTTATTAATTTGGTGCAGAATCGTTCACTGTTGTACCAGATTGCTGACGACGGCGGCTCGAGTGTGCTCAACGGCGGCTCAAGTGTGCTCAACGGCGGCTCACGCGACTGGGAAGTAAAAGGGTTGGGGCGTGCATCACACGTGCGCCATCGAAAGGTCCAAACCCCTCGGCGACGGTGACTGGATGATAATTAGGGTTAAAACCCTAATCTGGGTCATCTTAGACCGTTGGATCAAATCTGATCCAATGGCCGGAATCTCGGGTGGTGCTAGGTAGAAATGAAGAAACCCTAGCGGGTTCGGGTTGTTTAGGCCATAGGCGGGTCAGATCCGGCTAGG